GGAGTTGTACTATTAACCCAAAGGCAATGCATGCCTCTCTGGTGGTTTAAATCCACCAGCAGCGCTATGGAAGACAAATGGAAATCTCCTCCTGTGAGATCTACAGCTTGGAAACCTGCCAGAGGGTTTGCATTTGATCTGTGTAGTTTTGTGACCTGGAAATAAATTTAGGAACACTGTGGTCCTAAAAATGATGAATATTGTCATTATAGGCCCCTCAAAAGTCAAGTTGCTGCTGGTTCATCCCCTGGAAATTCAAGACACATAAAGCAGGTTACATGGTTAGCTAGAACCCGTGTGGTTCTGACTTCCACAGCTCAAGAAAATTAACAAAAATAGAGAAGGGTCATGGAGTTAGAGATGAAAGGCTGCTTTATCGTGGTAAAGACTAGGTTGCTGTTGTTGGCTGGTGCTGCTGAGTATGACTCATAGCCACCCTATGAACAAAAGATCTGAACCCTGTTCTATCCTGCACCATTCTCACACTTCCTGACACATAAGAGCCCATTGCAGCAGTCACCATGTCAATACACTTGGTTGAGGGTCTTCTCTCCTTTGCTAACCCTCCACCCTTCCCAACATCACGTCCCTCTTCGAGGAAAAGCCCCTCCTAGCAACATCCCAAAGTATGAGAGGCAAAGCCTTGTCATTCTTATCTCAGAAAAGCACTGTGGATCACATCTGCTATGGACAAAGTGTTGGGGGCAGTGCTGAGTAAAGGAATGAAGGAGTTCCTGGACCCTTCAGTGAGTGAAGAAATCACATGATTTTATTAATCATTCTATATATTCAGGTTGTAGGAAGACTGGTATATCTACAGAGAACTATAGTTTATATAGGTGGGCTTGTTTCAGACTGATTAAAAAAAAAGATCAGGACCCTTCAGTGTGGAAACATGGCTGTACACACTTCAGGCATAATTCACTCCTATATATAGAATATGAGCGATTAGAATTAGTTATCATGTTCCTAAATATTAACCATAACTTGCTGTTCTCTTTATCTCCTTGATAAGAAATTACAGGCCATATTTCAGTGCCTACAGTAAGAAAAAGAAGGAAAGGAACCTCTGGGGGCTAAGTGGTGTTTAGCTAATAACCTCAGGGTCAGTAGTTCAAGCCCAGTGTTCCTCTGCAGTAGAAAAGACCTGGCAATCTGCTATTGTGAAATGGATTTACAGCCCTGGAAACCCTGTGGGGCAGTTCTACTCTGTCCTATAGAGTGATTATGAGTCTGAGTTGATTCAACACCAAATGCCACCATTGTTGATAAGGGCCATTGAGTCCCCCAGGACTCACAGCAGTCTTATGAACAGATCTGAGCCCTGCCTGTCCTATCCTGTGCCGTCCTCATCATCCCTGGCACACCTGAACCCATTACAGCAGCCATGTCGTCAATTCATGTTGTCAAGGGTCTTCCTCTCTTTCACTGACCCTCCACATTTTCAAGCATGATGTCCCTCTCCAGGGAATAGCCTCTCCTAAAAACGTGCCCAAAGTATGTGAGACAAATTATCACCATCCCTGTCTCCAAGGAGAACTCTGGCAGTACATTCCCCTAGATATACCTGTTTGTCTTGGGATACCTGTTTGACTATCATGGGATAGTCAGTACTCTTCTCCAACACACAGAGGCATCGATATGAGTTATTTAAAAACTCATTATCCCAAAGTAGACACAGGTTGAAAATATTTAACATGTTAAGAAATTATGGTGTATGTGTCAGCTAAGTGGTTGCCTCAGAATTCCTTCAGAAGGTGGAAATGATGCAGCAGTCACATTTGATTTATATTTAGAAGGTGGGTAAAGAGAGGATTTTAAAGCCCTGGTTTGGTCCATAGATATTATGGGCAGTTTTAATCTGTGCCTTCAAGATGGTGTCTTCTGTGCATAGCTCTTAGCAGCCAGTACCTAGTGGACCCTGGTCAATGCCTGGTTATACAGTGCAAAGCACTAAGGATTTCACTACTTGCCCCTGAGATTATGTTACAAAAAAAGTGGCATTACTTCAAGCATACTAAGAACAATCAGAGCGTAGAGAAAACCTTTCCCTTTTTCTTACTCCAATCAGGATTCCAAGGTGGTAAGGATCTACAACACAGAGGAAAGGATCTGAAAAGACACGAACCCCAAACAGAAGTTCCTTAACTTATAGCAGCTTTCAGAAGCAAATCCCCCGCCTGTCCTTACTACACTTGGATGAATTTCCCACATTAGCTCAATTCCAAAGTAGAACAAGATACCCATGGTTCTGTTGTCATTTCAATTGCACGAAATGCTTGGATACTGTAAGAAACAACTAGCATCTCATGGGAGCTCTGGTGGCCTAGTGGTTAAGGAGCTGCATTGTCAACCGAAAGGGAGGTGACTGGGAGAAAGATGGGCGATCCCCATCTGTGTGACTTACAGCTTCTGAAAACTTGTTGGTACCTTGGTTCCAACAACTTAGTGGCAGACGGCAACTACTACCAGGGAACTTTCTCTAGCTCACCCTCAAAATTCCTTGGATAATCACTAGGTGCTTGGAAAAAACTAGATAAACACAATTATCTCACTGCAGGTGATTTAAGGGGGGAGAAGTTTAATGTAAATCCAGAGATGAGGCAAGGAATTATGAGACCAAAGCAGGTCTTGAAGCCACTTCTGCCTGTTTTTTGGCCTCAGTGGCACCTCTTTCTGTCAGCACTGCGTTACCTCGCCTTTGCAATGTCAGGTTCCAGTGTGTGTGGTGTCATCTTGTTAGGCCTTTGGATATATAGGTGCGTATCTGCTGAAACATGCTATGTAAAAAGGAAGACAAGGAGCTTAACACAGCACAATGCTTCAGATAGGCCTATTTATCTGCTAGTTTGCATATTTATTAAAGGACAATGAAATGCTTTCCAATTTCTACATAGAATTTGCCTTAAAATCAATTTGAAGGGTGGCATATCCACTGGCTAATAAAAAGCAAAGCTTTCTTATTTTTCCAATTACTTGGTTCCTTTAGCAAAGATGGATTATTCCATTGCCTTTCTTCCAACATGGACTTCAGGTTACTTTAAAGCAGGCAGTTTCCCAACCAAAATAAGTTTCCCTAAAGACTACTTAAGCAAAACAAAGAACAATGGGAAATCAATTTTGTTTTGGGCTGTTGTTCTATTTTCTTTTTTATTTAGGGGACACAAAAATGTATATGTAAATGAAGGTTTTAAAAAACCAAAACTTGGGGTTTTAACCCATCACATGCTGTCTCATCACTCTCCATGCAGTCTAAAAGATAGTTTGAACTGTTTAAGATTACAGAATTTGATACAAGGATGTGTGGATTTGGTTGTTCCTGATTGGTGATGGCACTTTGACTGAGAAGCACCCACACTCCTAATGCCCACCTCTCTCCACACTAGTCCTGCCAGTTTCTTTTCGTCACCCATAACACACACTTAGGAGATAGCTGGCTAGAATAATCTGATTTTTTTGAATAGAATTTTGCTTGTTATCTAGAAAATAAACAAAACCAATAAACAGTCTTTTGTTGATCAAATCTTGCTCTTGGCAACACTGGAATCATGCTCTCATCAACAGAGCTACAAATAACAAAGAGTTAAAAAAATAAGCAAAAATCAATCTTTGTTTCTCATACTTCCTAGATGAGGTGGGCTTTTAAAAGGGTTATTTCACAAAATGAGACAAAATTTTAAATGACAGATTATTACTAGGGTTTTAGTCACAATGAAAGGAGAAAACTCACAATTTCACGAAGAATAAAACTGGTATAAGAGGAGACGGCTTCATTTTTAGGTGCATCCTAAGTAACAACGAATGTTTCTTGTTAAAACCACCATAAAAATAAAAAGGAATCTGAAATATCACTGCCAGTGTTGCTTCAAGATTTGGAGAAGTGAGATGTACCAAGTGTTAAGTGACTCCATGGGTTGCCAAACCCACCCCTGTGAGCATTTTTTAGGCTGTGGAAAAGTAAAGCCCAGCTCAATCTCAATTACCCGTAAGGACTAAAAGTCAACTATATGTATTTATTTTACTACTTGCCCTAATTCAATACCCAAGAAGTGGAGAGTTAGGTTTGATGTACCTGCATGGGAAATGGTTTTCAATTCTTCCTCACAACTCATAGCAGAACAAGAAAGCTAGTGCACGGGCAAAAAGCTTCTGCACATCAAACTTGCAAGGAAAATCCTTAATGTAGAAGAGGAACGACCTTTTCCCTTGACCTATAGATTTTGTTTTATTAAAAATTAAACTACTTAGTAGTAAAGAATAACTTTTTTTTCATGATAGGAGTGTAAATGAAGTTTCATAAACCAGAATATATGTATCTGTCTATGAACCAGTTATTTAAAAAGACAAAAAAAGCTTGATCAATCCTAAATGGATAGGTATATAAATCCACTCCAGGTCTAAGATATTATAAGAACAAGTCTTAAATTTGTGATAACAAAGGTTAGCATGGAAATAAGGAATTGAACAACAGCAATGCTAGCAGGCAATACTGTATGTACTCAGTATTATTTGAAAGACATAGCAGAGAAAGGGAAAAGCACTATTCTGATTTGCTATTTTCACAATTCAGCGACTCAGAGCCTCATCCAAAACAGGGAAAGCCAATCCAGAAACTCCTGTCTGCTCAGAATCGTTGCAGAGTGGGATTTAGGAATGACAGAAGTCCTCCCCAGGGGCAAGCTCCCAAGGAGACTATGCTGATGAGGGTGTTCGGGAGAAGGGTGAGCCAGCAAGCAAGCGGCCTCTGAGGTTCTGGTTTTCAAGTCTTTGATGCTATTATGTACCTGTGGGGAGACCAGACCCCCTCTACTGTGATTCTGTTGGTTAAAAATGCAACAGGGTCTATTTATAGCACTTCAGTCATTTTAAAAAAACCCTCCTGCCCCTTCTCCCACTCAACCCAACTGTAGGAAAGGAGAAATTCACTAATTTTTTTCATCAGGTTTTTGCAGTGCCAATAAAGTTCAATCAAATATAAAACACAACAGACAGAACCAATCTGTTAGGATTATTTATCTCAAGGGACCCTGAACTGGATATTGATCTCTGACAAACTGAAATGAGCTGGACTTAGTCTGTTGGTTTAATTTCTACACACCAACAGTCATTTCCGTGTTTGTTCCACCTGGAGTGGTCCCATGCCACCCCTCGGTGAGTGCACTGGGCAGCAGCAGGGGGGACGCTTTGGGGAAGCTACTGGTTTTGCCATTGGCTCCCAGAATCACACAGACTATAACAAACTTGACATTAAACACTGCTTAGTCCTGAGTTGGGTGAAGCCCATGGAGGAGGGGGCTGAGTTCATGAGGACTCTTGTCCCTCCTTAGCGTGGCGTCATACATGGCCTTCAAGTTTCTCTTCTTCCATTGTTTGACTTTCTGTTCCTTTTTCATTGGTGGCTCCTTCTAAAGTCTTCTTGCTCATTGCTTTACTGGCTTCTTCCTGAGAGTAAGAAATCAAAAGGGTTAGAGACAAAAGTGAGATGTCAGATGACTTTCTGGCTCCTCCAGACAGTTTGTTGTGTGGAGGAGAGCAATGACTTCATTTAGGTTTGTTCACTGGGGTAAGCAAGGACTGTGCCAGCAGTGGCTATACTAGGGGCTCTCATCTTTCCCATCAAGTCCATGTGGCAAAAGGGGTGATTGTTGTTGATAAGTGCCATCAAGTCAAGTATGACTCATAGTGACCCTATGAACAGATCTGAACTCAGACTATGCTATGTCAACCTCATAATCTTGGACACACTTCAGCCCACTGCTGCAGTCACTGTGCCAATCCATTTGGTTGAAGGTTCTTCCTCCTTTGCTGACCCTCCATCTTCCCAACCATGATGTCCCTCTCCAAAGAACTGCCTCTCCTAGCATCATGTCTGAAGTATGTGAGAATAGGCTTTATCATCTTTGCCTCCAAGGAGCTCTCTGCCTGCCCCTTCTCCGAGATATATGTGTTTGTTCTGTTGGGAGCTCATGGGATGTTCATTACTCTTTCCCACACCATAATACAAAAGCATCAATTCTTCTGTCATCCTTATTCACTGTGCAACTTTAAGCAGAATAGTAAGTGATTGAAAAGATCATGGCCTGAATCAGGTGTACCTTCGTCCTCAAACTACACTATTGCTCCTCAATAATTTGGAGGTCACTGGCTGCAGACTTTTTCAGTGCACTGTTTCCTGGCTGTAGGTACCAACAGTGTTGATTATGGATCCATGTAAGAAGCCACTGACAGTTTCACTCTTTTCTCCATCTATCACAATGTTGTGTATAGGTCCAGTGGTAAGAATTTTTGTTTTCTGGATGTTGTGATACAATCCATATTGAAGGCTGTGTTCTTTAATCTTCTGCCGCAAGTACGTACTTCAAGTTCTCCTCATTTTCAGCAAATAATGTTGTATTAGCTGCATAACGAAAATTATAGATGAATCTTCTTCCAATCCTGGTGCTTCATTCTTCTTCATAGACTCCAGCTTCTTGAATATTTGGTCAGCATACATACTGAATAAGTATGGGAAAAGGATACAATCCTGACACACATCTTTTCTAATTTCAAACCATGTAGTGTTTCTTTGTTCTGTTCAACAGCCTCTTGATCTAGGTATAGGTTTTGAATGAATACAACTGAGTGTTCTTGGACTACCATTCTTCTTAACATTAGTCATAATTTGTTACGATCCACACAGTTAAAGGTCTTTGCACAGCCAATAAAGCACAAATAGACATTCTTCTGGTATTCTTTGGTTTCAGCCAGGATCTACCTGACATGAGCAATTATAACCCTGGTGCCAAGGCTTCTTCTAAATCCAGCTTCAACTTTTGGCAGTTCTCTGTCTAGGAATTGTTCTAGCCATTTTTGAATGATCTTCAGCAGTATTTTGCTTGCATGTGATATTGATGTTCTTGTTATTGTTATGTGCCATCGAGTCGATGGCAACTCACAGCAGTTCTGAAGTCTGCCCTGTCCTGTGCCAGTCTCACTGACTCAAATAAACATACTCCCATTGCTCTAGTTACTATATAAATCCATCTCATCTGGGTCTTCCTTTCCTGCGCTGTCCCACCACCATTCTGAGCTTGATGCCCTTCTCCAAGGATTGTCCCTTCTGACCACATATCCAAAGTATGTGAGACAGTGCTTCAAAATCCAAGCCTCCAAAAAGAAACTTGGTTTCACCTTCTCCAACACAGACCTATTTGTTGCTAGGGGGAGGGAGACGCTGGAAGGGGTAGGAGAGAGTCCAAATGATGCTAATATTCAGGGAAAGGGAAGGGACAACCTCTGTAAAGGGAAAAATGCTTGTCTGTCAGATGTTATTCCAAAGCTAAGCATCCAAATTCAGACTAGGAAGAAGGATTGGCCATCACTTCTGAAATATAACAGGTCTTTGAAAACCCTATGGACAATATTAATGATATTGTTCAATAATTTCCACACTCTTTTGGATCATGTTTCTTGAGAATTAGAACAAATATGGATCTCTCCCCCTCAATCAGCCAGACAGTTGTCCACCAAACTTCCTGGCAGAGACTGGTGAGCATTTTCTAGATGAAACACGTCAATTGGTCACTGATTTCTGGGGCCTTATTTTTTGGCCATGTCTTCATGCAGCTTGACCTCCTTCCTTCATTACTATTGGCTCTTAATCATATGGTGCTTCCTGAAATATTTCTGTTTTGGCCAATTCTTTTTGGTACAGTGATCCTTTGTATTCCTTCCATCTTCTTTTGATGCCTCCTGGATCATTCAGGATTTTGCCCATAGCATCTCCAACTACTGCAACTCTGTTTAACAAAAGGGGTTAGGAGCTGAGAAATCACTTAGGATAAGGCTATAATTATGCTGAAAGGGAGGCTGACCACTCTCTACAGATATTGTTCCTGTCACATTTGCCAGGCTGACTTCTGAACCTCAAGATAAAAGAGCATGATAGTGGGGTTTCACATAATAGCCCATTTCCTGGGAAAAATGGAAGTCTCAGCAAGAAAGCTGAGGTGGGGCGGGGGGGTAGTAGAGGACAGTGGGAAGGAAATGAAATGACAAAAGCTTTGATATTTCTTTAGGAAATTTGTTGTCCTCATTTCTTACAGGGACATGCCAGGGTCTCACAAGCCTGAGCCCTTAGTAAGAGGAATATTTAATCTCTGGATCAAAACCAGCTTTGGATCAGAAGTTATTTCCCTCTATTCCTTTGCTTGTAGGGTGGTCTGTCTGTCTCTCTGCCCTACTTTAACATTCTTAGGACAAAAACTAAAGGGGTGTAAGATCAGCATTTTATCTTCCAGGAGGAGGATGGGTCCAACTCATACCTTTGCATCCTGCTCTGCAAACTTGGTGAACATGTTGGCGTAGATCTTGCGGTCCCGTTCGTTGTGCTCCTTCGCCTTCTTCTGGCACATGGAGATCTGTAGTCTCGCAGCCTTATTCTGGGGATTCACTTCCAATACCTTCTCAAAGTCACCTTTGGCTGACTCAAACTCATTCATAAGCAACTGGGCTTCACCCCTCCTGTACAAGCCCTTCTCGTTGGCACTGTCTAGCCCAAGGGCCTGTGAATAGATAGTGCACATTTTAGAAAGGATGAAGGTAATTCTTCTTACTTTGTGTGGAGATTTTGAAGAGAAAAGAAGTTCCGATTCACTCCGAATAACTTATCAAAGCTCTTTGGCCAAGGGAGGTGGAGGACACATACTGGAACAATAGTGCTTTATATGATTTATCAAAATATAGTAAGTTTCCCAAACACATTTTTACATTTAATGTAGTTTCTGTAAAGGCACCAAGGGAATTTGGAAAGGAAGCTCACAAGCAGCTCATTTTAAAGTTTATCAGAATAAGTAAATACCCAGGGATGGCTAAACAAATCTTGGAGGGTTAAAAAAGGGTAAAAATAATGGGGAGACCAGTCCTACCAGAGGGAGAGAAACATACTATAAAACTACTGAAATTAAGAGTTTTATTGTTAACATGTGGACAAACAAGCCAGAGCAACAGAACAAAGATTTCAGAAACAGTCACATGTATGTGTATCAACAAATTTAGTACAGACAAGGGTGATAATACAAACCAGTTGGGAAAAGACTAACTGATAAATAGTATCAAGATGGTGGCTATCACATAGAAAATAAGAGAGCAAAATTTCTACTTCCTATCATATTCACAAAATGAAATTTTCAATTATATGTTAAAAAAATCTCAAATATTTAACAGGACTATTTTACAACCTCACTGTATGGTCATGTGAGTCAGAATCAGCTCAAAAGCATATAATATCACAGTAGGAAAGACCTTTTTTTTTTAAAATTTTTTTTTTGAAAGACCTTTATAGCCAGAAAGGAAAAGAGAGATTCAACTACACATGTTAAAACCTTCTCTACCATCAAAAACATTAAAAGACAAATGAGAATATGTGTTATCATTTCTCACATTGTATTCTCTTATTCTTTGTCAGATAAATGTTAATAAGGACTCTGTCAATCAAAAGCAAAAAAAAAATCCAGTCAAAGAATGCAAAAGGGTAATTTATAGAAGAAACAAAAATGGCAAAAAGATGTGCAACTTCACTAGTGATCAAGAAATAAGAAACAGAAATTAATATATTCCTCTAGATAATACTGACAAAAAAGAAAGCAGTGATACTATTAAATCATAACATTCAATGTATTTAAATAGAAAATGTTTACTCCTTTTGACTTGATAGTTCTACTTTGAGGAATTTATTCCTCAGAAACAATGTCAAGTGTTCAGAGATACATATAAAAAACCTATAATATTAGAAAACTACATAAATAGCAAGACCATCTAAAAATCATACAGAACACAAGAAAGTAAAAGTCCACTTAATATTCCACTGGCCCTCTCTCCCAAGAAAACAGTAATTTACTTCCTATACCTTTAAATTCCCCATGTGTGATCCTCTCCAATCACTTAGGGTTCCCAAATTGAATAGTGTCATTTTGCAGTCTGATGTTTCTCAAACCTGCTCCTTTATCCCCAAACTGTCTTCCTAGCCCAGACCTGCCTCCCTCCATGTAATTTACTTGGTGTATTTGAACTTTTCTATGATATGACATTAAGTATAAATTTATATTAAGAAAGAATTTACAGTCAGTTCTTTATAGTTTCTACAGGTTGCCATAAACTTACAAGTTTTACCTCTAGCAGTCTGCAAATTCCAGAGGAGATTCCTGCAGGCTCTGGGGTCCCATTTGCCTCCTGGAACCTTATTAGCACATAGGTGCTACTTTGATTGACAGATGGAGTAGTGACTTCCCTGCAGCTGGCATTTGGGAGGTGGACAGTAAAGAATCGTGAGCAGAGGCTCAGACCACTGGCTTGCCCACTGTCACCTCTGGCTACAGGTTAGAGTTGCTATTGTGCCCTGGAATTCACGTGCTGTTGGTATCTGTAAACCTGCATATGTTACTCATTTTCAAATACAATTTCAGGACTTTTACAAGATCCCTTTTCTCGTAAAAAAACACCTCCCCTAGGGCTCCCTCCACCCTAAGGCCTTGGTTCCACTAGGAAGTGGTCACTTGCACACAAGGCTAATGGTGATTTGAACATCAGTGCACTATACTTCCTGAAAGAACTCAGCTGCCGGCAGAAGGTGGTGGTGAGTCTCTTATTCTTTTTAAGAGCCATCTACATAACACCCATGGCATGCATTCATTATTCCTTTGGAATACTTTCCTGTTTTTGATATGCATTTTTCTTGCACAATTAACATTGTTTCTGTAGAATTAATTTCCAGAAGCAGAAATATCGAGTCAGAAGGCAAAAACATATTCCAGTTTAAAATCTGTTTTTTCTCCTCTAAAGGATACATTCACACACATATGCTTGTCTAGGTATGAAAAACCAGAAGCAAAAGTGAATGGCTGTTTTCTTGGGAGAGAGGGTGAGTAGAATTTTTAATGAACTTTTACTTTGTTTTTTTCTGTAAGAATGAGTTTTAAATAATCATACTATTGAAATAGTTTTTAATAATAATAATAATGCATGGATTTTTAAAAAGTTGATTAGTAAAAACATTCCTCTCAAGGTCCAATCTGATACCAAGGCCAAAGGAAAGAATAGCTGGATTTTTAGGCCAAAGAAAGCAGCAGCTTGATAAAAACTTTCTTTAAAAATATATCACCACAGAAAATTCTGAATATAGTAAAAATATTTTAAAACTTCCACAATACATGGAAAAACAAATAATTTCCATCCATGTAAATAAACAGCAAACTGAAAGGTGTCCAACTCTTGGTTGAGAAGCTATAAAAGATGACTAAGCGTGGGTGGAGGGTGAACCCTGGAGTACCCGCCACCCACTGCCTACGAAACATTCTTTACCTTATCGCAACACTCCACGGCTTTGGTGTACTCTCTAAGCTTCAGGTAGCACATGGCCAGGTTCAGAAAAGCAGCAAGCAGAAATGACTCAGAAGCTTTTGATTCTTTTTCTGATAAACCATACTCCATCTCTAGCCAGGACACTATCTTTCCATACTGAATCACCGCCTGCATGTACTTGCCTCCCTAGGAGAAAAAAACACAAACAATTATTTGTGTACTGGCTGTGCAGGGGGACAAAAGAAGCACAAGTCACAGTCTTCACTCAGAAAATCAAGTCCTCATAATAAACAAAATAAAATGGGTGTTAGGCCAGTTTTTTTCTGTTCCCTGAAGACAGCACCGTTTCCCATTCTTGCCTGAGGTCACACTGACCAGCAGGTTTGGACTGCTCATTACCGCTGCTCCCAGCCTTGACTCACTACCATCACTTCTTTTTTTGAGGAGCAGTTCTTGCAGCAGGAGGACATTGAGGTTTTTGGGTTACTCTTTCCCCACCCCCGGGTGACTCTTTTTGCTAATATTTCTCATTCTTTCAAAAAGATGGGTAAGCAGTACATTATGCCAGTAGTTTGCTTGAAGGGGGAGTTAAATTTTCTTTTAAACAGTGACTGGTAGGGAGTTCAGGACTGTAGAGCAGAGACTATTATATTCTGGCAAGCCCCAGTGCCAAACACAGAAAAACAATAGTTCTCTCTAGTTAAGCCAGGAGTTAGCAGAAAGTTTTTTGTAAAAGAGGCAGATAAAAGAGGCTTCAGTGGCTAAAAAGGTCTCTACTGTGACTACTCAATTTCACCATTTGTGGGATAAAAGTAAGAGTGTTACTTTGTTCCAGTAAAACTTTATTTATAAAATAAGTAGTGAGCCAGATGAACATACTAATCCTTTAAACAATTGGCAAAAGAAAGATAAGCAGCTGAACAGCAGCACCTGACATAAGTCATAATTAGAACATAAACTGGAGCTCTGGTGGCCTAGTGGCAAGAAACTATGCTGCAATCCTGAAGGCGCATGGTTTGAATCCACCAGATGCTCCACTGGAGAAAGAGGGGCAATCACCTCCTATACCAACTGGATCCAACTCGATGGTACACACACACACACACACACACACACACCCCATAAATCATGTCAGTGTCAGTCAGCTATGTAGGAAAAAGCTCCTCCTAATATTTTTGCTCTTATGTGACTAGTGGAATTATAACAATTATGAATGAGCATATGAATTAATGACATATATAAGAGGTTTTGGGGTAGAGAAAAGGTGCTTACACTGTTTAAAGAAATGAAAGAAAGGAAAGCTAGCTAAACACACAAATAAAATGGGAGTCTAGGTGAGAGCTGTCCTTCACAGGGCAACATACCTCGCTGGCACATCTAACCGATGGCAGGTATGCAGGCAGACTATTAAGTTAGTAAGCTCAATGTTTGACCTAATGGCTACATAACATGTTGTTATGTACAGTCTAGTGAGAACTGCCTGACTCATAGCTGACTCTCCAGTAGGTTTTCAGAGGCTAGAAATTACATGCAAGGAGATTGCCCATCTTTCTCCTGCAGAACAGCTGGTGGATTAGAACTTCTTGCCTTTGTGTTTGCAGTGTAACTCCTTAGGCCACCAGAGTGTCCCTTTCTAAGACCAGGTCACTAGAATTTGCCATAGTTAAAGTTGTGAAGAAGTCTTAGAGTATAATTATGTCCCCCCCCCCCATGTACATCCTCTACCCAGTGACTCTGAATATGAGAAAAAGAAGAGGTTTGTGATAATGTCCCTGCAGTAAAGGAGACCAAGTAGCTGGCATGACTGAGGTCTGCTAAGAGAAAAGCAGCCTTGATGTCAACTTTGTGGTGACAAGAATAAGGCCCTGCTCCAACTGGAGGGCCTGGGCAATGCTATGGACCATATCACTCTTCACCAGACAACTGTGTAGGGAGGGGAAGGCCCCGGCCCTACTGTAGGAATGCAGTGCAAAAGGATTCTGAGGTGCTCTCAAAGAAAAATGTATCAACAAAAACCCAAACCCACCGATATCAAGCAGACTGCTCTTCACTCTGACACTGCAGAGTGTTTCTAAGGTTTTACATCTTTATAAAAGCATACTCCCACGTCTTTCTCCAGTGGAACAGGTACTAGGTTCAAACAGTTGAACAAAGGTGGGCAGCTGACTGCTCTGCCCACTGTATTGGCAGGGCTCCTTACAAAGGAAAAAGTTGCACACTGCCTTTGAGTAGGTTCTGACTCACTGTGACCCTCTGCTCGATTTCAGAGGCTAAACTGCAACGGTGGGTGGGAGGATAGGAAGCCCATCTCTTCCCCACGGAGCAGCTGGGGGATGTGAACTGCCAGAGAGGCTATGCCTTTGGGTTAGAAGGGCAACTCACTAGGGATCATACTACCAGAGCTCTCTCCTTATGAAGGAAAAGGGCACCAAAAATGAGTCTGCTATCCTTTCCGTCTCAGAAATTAAAAAAAAAAATCTAGATGAGATTCTTGGGGAAATAATATTTATCATAGTCTAAAGATTCCCACTCTTTTGAGTACTTCAAAAGAGCAAACCCAGACTTTACCACTGTCAGGGTTTGGTAACTGTACTGTCACTCTTTGTGAGCTCTTTCAGTACAGAAGACACATCTCCTTTGGAATACCCAGAATTTAGGAAAAAAAGACTGACAATCTGCTCGCACACCAAAGATTTACAGCCTTAGCACCACTCTGGGGCAGTGCATCTCTGTCTGCGAGTTCCTACGAGTAGGGATCAAAGGGTTAGGCCTAAGAATGGAATACTTACTTTCCACGAGCACGAGGGGGCGCAAAAGCTCCATTTTATGAAGGAAAGCACAGCAGGGTTCTCCGCTTTCCTCCAAGTCAGAAAAGAGCAACACCCACCAGGTCTAATAAGGAATGCTCTAATCCAACAGAATACTGTCAGCCACGAAAACTCACATCTGTGTGACTGACTCACACAATGCTTGGCATAATTATCATGTTCTTATGTGTTCTTAAGGGACCTCAGGTGACTTAGTCCAAAGGAGATGTGCTGTTAATCCAAAGACCGAGCCTCTCTGCCCTTCTATTTCTGAGGGAGAAAGACGGTCAGTCTCCTCTCATGCACTCTTATAGTCTAAGGAACCTGTCAGAAGGTCAGCTTTAAGTTGATTCCAAATCAGCACCAATGGGTTAATAGTTATTTGTTCTTAATTATTTTCAGTACAAAATAAAAAAGATCCTTTTCCTTTCTTCTTGATAGTGTTCAGAGGTTGAAATTAAGCATTTACAGTCATCCCCATGCAAAAAACTTAGTAAAATTCTGCACCACTAAAAGGAGAGAAGAAGGTGCTCTTGTAGCATAGGGCCAAGATCTTAACTAAAAGGCTGGCAATTTGAATACACTAGCAGCCCCACAGAACAAACATGGGCAGTCTCCTCCTCTAAAGAATTAGGCCCTGCAAGCCTGATGGAGGGTTACTATGAGTTGGAATTGACCTGATGACAGAAGTGGTTAATAGGAGCAATAAGGAGCCCTGGTGGTATAACAGTTAAAATACTTGGCTGCTAACTCAAAAGTTGCAGGTTTAAATCTACCACCAGCAGGAGAAAAAGACCTGGCAATACACTCTTAGAAAACCACATGGAACAGTTCTGCTCTGATCCATGGGGTTGTTATGAGTTGGAATTCACTTGATAGAATACAACAAGAGGAGAAATTTACTCATTTGGGTGTAAACTATGTTATCAGGTCAAAGGAAATAGAGCTTCAATGTTCAGCTGGCATGAAACACAGCTTTGAATTTTAGCCTCCCCCCTCACCCACACATCTGGACTCTGTGCATGTACTCAAGGTGCCAAGTCAAACACCCTGGAAAGACGAGGTCTGGAAGGGCCCTGTGGCAGATTGAAACCTGCCCTGAAATTGCAAAAGGGAATGAGTATAGCAGTCTCGCTTCCAACCATTTTGAAAAATTTTATAGTAAGAACTAAGCTCACTGTTGGGATCTTTTACCTATAATTATGAAGGTGCCTCAGGGAAGCCTGTAGTAGTACAGCATGTTCAGAGACATTCTGGGAGAAAAGTTTCAGATCAGTGGTTTTAAATCTTTTGTTCATTTTCCCCCAATGACCTAAGGTTTTGAAAGATTTTGTCTATCAAATTGCCATATTAGAAATAATTTGCTCCATATGTGTGACTGCTGATATAGATTTTTATCGAAAAATTTAGTAGTTTTAAGAAGGTTCCTAATATTACAAAATACACAAATAAAACTGTGGCAGCTGCAAGGATAATAAGCAATAAAGTTAAGTAATCATAAAGATTCTTACACACTGCTTTCTACTACTGATCCCTGAGTTTAGTACACATCTCTCTGTACACATCCAGGATATAGTCTAATAACTCAAGGTTTCAGGACATTATTTCCTTTCCAACAATGTTCTTCAAAGTTCTGTGTTTTTAACAACTAATTAGAGCTTCTAAATGGCTGAGCTGCTTGACTTCACTGAGTTCATACAAGTCTAGTCAAATGCCAAAAGCCTCAAACTCCCCAAATGGTTTCTATTTAGCAGTTTTGGAAATTACATAACGTATGGTTAAAAACATAAGAAATACAGTTAAAGACCTATGGTCTTTGTTAATTTTACAGACTATTTTCACTTTATTGTAGTGTACCGTGTATGTGAGTATATAAATAATCCACTAGGAATCTTAATTAAATACAGGCAGTTACTGGGTTAGGAATTCAACTTAAGAACAACCTGTACTTGCCCTTTAATATTATGTAAATTTTCTCTCACTATGAAATGACTGAACTAACTTCATTTGCAAAAAAATCACTTGCTATACCTGTAATTTTTAAATAATGGAAAAGGCTTAGAAGTTTTTCTTGCACTAAAGTAAGGCTAAATAAGAACTGTACGCACCTGTTTCAACATCTCCATAAATTCTTAAAGACACAGTTAGGAATAGATCTCATTCAAAATGGTGGAGCATTTAGCTCCCTGATTTCAAATCCTACTACACTGCCGTAGTGGTAAAGACAGCATGGTACTGGTACAATGACAGACACACAGATCAATGGAATCGAATTGAGAATCCAGAGATCAACCCATCTATCTATGGTCAACTGATCTTTGACAAGGAGATGAAATCAGTGAAGTGGGGGAACGAC